AAGTGCCGAATCTAAGCAGTGCCCAACAAAAGGACGTCATCTTCCCCAGTACCGACCTTTCATTTGGGAAACTCTGATGTCTTCGCCATTGTCATTCTCAGGTATGCGTGAGGCCATTGGCGAGACCTAACCAAGCCGCGTTTTGAGCTGCACGTGGACGCAACGACCGGATGTTCTCGAATTCTGCCACGGTTACCCGTAATCGATGGCCCTCTGCCTCGACTTCGCTGCAACGCTGGATTCAGTACACGGTAAGTCCATAGCGGATAATGGGACTAGACGGGATGCCGGTAAAAAGTGATCGCCGTGCTCAGGCCTACTATCGCTCGATAACTTGGCCAGTTCTGGTCAACGGCAACTTATCTCAGTCGTTCGAGGGCCAATCTGGCGATATGCTATGAGTAACTGCTCTTAACAAAGCCCAATAAAACAGCACCTTCCTAGTCTACACGGCCGAATCCGTCACAGCCTTTCCTACGGTAAACTGACGGAATTACTCCGACACTGTTATTTGGATGAGAACCTCGAGGCTCACTTCCAAGGCGTGAGCGAAGTCTCAGCGCCACTCAGAGGACGAAAGGTGAGACTGAAGATAAGGCACTTAATAGAACTGGATAGTAAATTTTAACACACCGTATGCGTTAGGCTTGTTACAGAAAGTCGGTGCATGCGAGTTACACGAGCCTGCGGATAAAACACGCAGAACTATATCAAGAGCTGTTTTATAGTTACAGCTACCAACCAGTCGCACGTATGGCATACAAACATGCAAGACTCACCTAGAGACAGCAAGAGAGCCATTTACACGCTGTATGATGACCGAGCCACCTGCTTTTTGGATGCGTTCCTTCTCGGCGGGGTGAACTGGCTTATGGTCGGTTGTTGCGAAAGACACGCTACCGTCGCTAATTAATATGGCTCGGGAATCGCCACAGTTTGCAAAAAATATGTGGTTCGGGGTGATGAGGACGCAGATGGCCGTGGAACCTGATCTATCCTCACCACTGGCGATTTCCGGGAGGTTGCGAAGTCGTTCATCAAGGGCAAGGAAACCTTCGCGAATACCCTGTTGGATTTCTGGAATGCTCGGAGCCAAGTCTGGGTCGATCCTTTTAAATTCCTCGGTACCGACTATGCACTGAAAAGTTTGTGGGAAAAAAACATGTGCCCAATTATACGTCTGACTCCGTCAACGCGACACTAATTTAAGTGCCCTATGAAAAGTTTCCTTACAGTAGTCTGTGGCCATGCCTAAACTGCTATCAGGTCAACGATAAACAGCCAAAGACAATTCAGAAAAGGAAAATATCAACGGTTTTCTAGTATCTGTCAACAATCATTTGTCGGCCCACTACTACACGCGTCAACCTCATGCTCCGATAACGTCACTGTCTTGCAAAACAAAGATCTTCACAGCAAAATCCTTCATTTTAATATTATGATGTTATTATTAAAAAAAAATTTGAGTGGTTTCCGGGATATTGAATGTCTCTATTATTAAGAGCGCTCACAATGCAACCCTCATCTGAAAAGTACTGTAGTCTCAGTCGCAAATCGTCGAAACTACCAAGGAAACGAGTTTATGAAGTTCGGTATCGCTGGAAAACAAAGGATCGTATCGCAAATGGGACCTTTAATACACTTGAGTATAAAACGCAAATCCCGTTTAGTTTGAGGACCTAAGAAACCCCTTGAACTAATTATGAGAGACATGTGAGTGGATGCTAGGGAATTTTAACCCAAACCAGCAGGTTTCTGAGGGGTGAGTTCGGACCCATGGCTTTCTCGATTTTTATTGGACCAAATGACTTTTAGCTCAGTATTCTGGCTAGGCGTTAGTGCTGATCAGATTATGAACGTAATGTTCTCCGAACTTTTATATTCCTAACGTAGCTGGTTGCAGGTCATTTTGAGACGATTCTATGGAGTGGGTGATGCAAGGGTGAGAGTCAGTCAAGATGTTTTCGAAGTTGTACGTGAATGCGCTCACACTAAGGATCCCTCACTGTGGTGTTCATCCCAGGTAGTTCAATCATAATGAATGAGGTGCGTTCAGCCCGTTATTAGTCGCCCACATAAGTAAGTTCAATTTACTGCCAAAAACCGGACAATGTCACCTTATTAGAAGCGATGAAGTCGACTTAAGACCTAGTTCTATACAAACTGTCAGGAAACGGCTTAGAGAAGAGTAGATCTGGCTCATTATTTTAGGTGTTATCACGCACGACAATGCATTCGGTGAAATTAAGCCAGGTTCCACTCGTATAGAAAACACGTAGATGCGTTCCTTTAATCGAATCTTCCTAAACACCTATATGCCTAGGTAGCTAGGGTGTTTTTCTATAAAAAAAGAGAGGGTCAATGCATTTCCGAATGTTCCAGTCACAGTCCTACGCAGGCCACCAGGAACATACAGATTAGTTCACAAACTCATTCGGTCGATAACTGGCCGTCAGAGGAGGTTGACGAAAAAAATCCCCTTCACCTGAGCAAAGTATAGTAACAGCAAAGAAGTATGTTGAAGGTCAATTCTAGAAATACTCTGATCGTAGGCTTGATTGGCTTTAAAGCGCACTCAATTTTATAAGAACCAAGTCGGCAAATTGTTGATTTGCTCCCATAAAATACAAAAATAGTAAAGTCCATTCTTGTGACCAAACAGATAGAGTATCCTACGTCACTTACTAAATAATTTCTAAACGAAAAGTTGTGAGCGACTTCTGAGAACATTTTATTGAATGAACTGACTTAGAACTGCCTACTCCACGAGGTTAAAATGTTTGCGAAGGAAGACAATGGAGCCTATCAGAGTCCACATTGAACATTTACCTACGTGGTACAAGGCATCGCAACACTGACCTTGAGGAGTTCCGATGCGCAGAGTTCTGATACGAGCGCACCAGCGTGCCCGTCAAAGACTGCAAAAAATGACCAATCCTTAAGATTGCCGGGCAGTTGAGTAATGGCGCAGTGAGCATCCTCCATGGACACTCTCCAGCCCTGCATGCTGGACAAACCATAACGCAGGTTATTTCCTGCGCCGGATTCATTGAACTTCTCTGTCCGTGGTGTGTCGAGGAGCGCTCCCATGAGCTTGAGAAAAACAGAGGTCCTTAATGAGATCCTTCCATGACTTAAATTTACAATATAAGCCACGGGGTTAAAATACAGACAATGCGGAAGGTAAGATATTCAGGCTCTGGAGGGAGGACTGGGAAATGGGCCTGAAAATACAAGATCATAGTCATGGAGAGATTTACTAGTCCACGGGTAATTGTCGACTGTTGATCAGCTACGCAATTCGCTATCGCCGAAAACAATGGAAGATGTCCGTAACTCTTTATTATACAACTTAAAAGCGGAATACGGCCTGATCGCGAAAAATTTAATCTCTTCAGCCGATACTTTAGATTCGTGCTCGGATTAAGGTAAGTGTCAGGTAGTGAACAACGGCATTGCATAAACGAGGCGGACGATCAAAAATGTGCCCAAACAGCCTTTGTCGACACCCTTGAGTGGCCTGAGATATTTGGGAAATGTGGTCATAGTGAGTGGAAATTGCGTCATTCGAGGCAATAGATCGTACTCATACAAATGGTTTCAAGTGTGTTCGTGTGCAACGCGCATATTCTATCATACACACCTTATCGTAACGGTGCTTTGTGGCGATTAAAACAGCATGACAGACCGACTGAGACCTTTTGAGGTCTAATAAAACTCTGAGAACGGCATCGATTCGGGCGATAGTGATCTTTACTGTGTCCGAGAGGTGGAAACCTGGCCCCGTGATGCTAGGAGAAGTCAAGATAGTCAAACCAACTTCGAATAAAAAAGAGAAGTGTCTCCTCCTGCTCTTAAATTTAGCTCAATAGTACGTCGACTTTTCTAGAGTTGGTGAATAAAAAGGTCAGCTTGACCACTTCGTCCAGCCGTGACACTACAGGTTGCAGATCACCGTAACTTGGCGCTAGTGGGACGATATTTCCCGAGTAGTCAATGTCTGCTAGTATGGAGCGAGGTGCATATGTGACTAGCGAAACTGCGTACAATTCTCCCAATTCAACCAAAACCGAAAGTAGACGGGGTGCGCTAGAGGACGCGTCCTAACCGGCAGCCAACCACGGGATTTAAAGCTTGGGATAGGCTGTGTATCACAGTTATCACTGTGGCGAGTTCACAATTGGTCTTGATCACCACAACAGTCTGAGGACTGCATGCAGCTCCGCTACCCGCCACACAGCTACCGATGAACAAAATCCTAGGTCGCAATGAAAAAAGCAAAGACCGGCGCCGGTCCGCTGCCCGGTTTCACTGTATACCGTCCTTGGACAGCATACATGATGAAACGGTTAGAAATGACGGTGATGTTAGTGTGACAGTGCTTGAGTCCCCGTCAGTTGCGCAATCACTGTTATGCGATGTAGTCGAAGACGAACTCATCATCTTAAAATTCCTTGGTCGGCCCATGCATCCAGGGAGCGCTAATTCCAGTACACAACCAAGGTGAAGTAGATCAGTGAGGCAAAACAAGAAATGCATCATGAGGAACAATGGAAATGCGGAAAACACCCACGCAGTTGACAAGCATAAATTATTAGAAGTTTAGATGAGAAAATCAAAGGAAATTTATTGGGCACGATTTACCCGGCAGATCAAATCTGGAATTCTTGCGTATAAAATGAGCTGAGTCGAACTGGAATGGACAGGAAGTTCACAATACAGGTTAGTAAGAGAGGAAGCAGGGGAGGAGCATTTTAGACAAGCTAAAGCGGCATCAACCGATCAAAAGGAGGCTCGTGAAAATATAGGCTAAGCTCAAAGGCATCTCCAAAGATAAACAAAGGTGGAAAACGATTTGATCAAAAAGCACTGGCGATATTTTAGGCTATTTTTTTAAAAAATATTTTCTGTTGATTGCAATAAGATACTGTATTTTATAAACCGCCGAGTTATTGAAGTCATAAGTTTAAGTGCTTGAATAAAAAGCGGATTGGTCAAAAATGTCTTCGGTACACCAACTTGATGGTGTCTCCCAGTTACAGCAGGCTAAAGCAGCCGCAACCGCAAAAATAGAGGCAGCGAGAGCAAGTAATATCTCGCTTCTATAAACGAATTAATTAGGGCGAATAATAAGATTGAAGCAGGCCAAAGACGAGGCGAAACTCGACATTGACGCCTACAAGCGAGAGCGTGAAGCAGGCCTTAAGGAGCTAGAACTTGCGGTATGTCCGCCTTTCAGTTAATTTTACTGCTCATTCGTCAAGCTTGGGCAAAGCAACGCCGACTCAGATAGCAAGATTGGCACGTTTGCTCAAAACCAGATATCGAGTCTGCATTTGTTGTATACCCAAAACAAAGAGGCCGCGCTGCGATCACTTCTGAAAGAGGTTTTAACAGTCACCCCTTCTGTCCATCGTAACATGAGGTGGTGACGCTTCCCCCTTCAAATGTTTGTGGCTGTTCACAAACCTCCCGGGTCGTTTATCCTTGTCGCCGAAATTAACCACCTACTACATTCCGCGCATTCAAATTTGGACATTTTAATGCTCTTTCTGGATAGATTCTCAGCATCTCAACTACTCAGTTTGACTAAACTCCCGACCGTGTATTTCCTATCCTTGGAGTAAATTTCAGCTCCCATTAACTAATTCGTGTTTTCGTATTTAATCGCGCACTGTCGTTTAAATCCTTTCTATACCCTCAGGACCGTTTGACTCTTTTCTTAGTTCTCTGTATAGTATTATCATTGCTCTATGTTCTCATCAACTTCCGTCTGCTTTCCATGTTCTGCGACTTAACATTTTCTCCACTGCAACCGCTTGTTTAAATTTAATTAGAAGTAGCTGGACCCGACCACGCGTTGCTGGGGCTCAATCTGATGAAATAGAAAAGAAAGGGAAGAGGAAGAGGCACGTTTCTCGTGTGTTTAATTTCATTATACGTATGGCTATACAATGTATTTTTTCGTTGCATTGTCAGTGCAGATATAGAGATTGTCTGGTCTGCCGACTCTGGAGCACGCAACATATAATTGGCCATGTGATAAACAATCCGTTTGCAGATCTAAGTCGCACAACATTGTCCATGAGCCTTGTTGGTGGCGATCGCAAACGCCAATCAAATCGGGGATTGCAGTCTCCTAAATCGAAATGGCGCGTCAGTCGGAATCAATGCAATGCAAGGAATAAGGACATGTTCACCTTTGAAAGGTCCTGTCAAGGTAGTCGCTTTCACGACGTTGCTCGTTATTTTTTACTGCAAGTCGCGTGTCGTTGCAAAGCTTCGGCTGGTTAATATTTTTCGGCGTGGTAGTCGGCACGCCGATTTTCAAATGTAGTACTGCGGTAACGTCTCTGGTAGATCAGGTGAATTCAAAATTTCTAGGGGATAATGAACTACTTCGTCTGCTTCCAGAGCAGTGTCGACAGAAGTGTATGTGACCTTCTCGCTTTGAATGTTAGACTGAATAATATGGTTAAGTTGTTAGACATCTTTGTTTTTGGCCGCAAGAATAGCTCGTTCGCTCAGCCAATCGTGGTTCATATAAGCGAGTTTAATATTGGGGAATATCTAAATTACCTTAATTGTCGAATGTAAGTGGACACGCGTATTTGTAGTTAATTTTGACGTCTGGACGAGGCACCACAAAGCAGAGTATTTTAGGCAGGCATTTATTTCGTCCGCTGGTGTCAATCGAGGAATTGCAGGCAATGTTTGCCTAAAGTTTCCTGCAAGCAGTGGCAATGCGTCTCCAAACGGTCTGCTGTTTCCGCGCAAGTTTAGCAACGATCGATCAAAAGCCTCAAGCGTTTTTGTGTGCCATTGTACATTCATCTCAAACAATAAGTTTACATTTCTACGGCACTTTTCCCATGCCGAATGTATTTTAAATTTTGTATGCGGGAGTTTAGATTAATTGCACGTTCAAAGGCAATCACAAAGTGGAATGAGCAGTTCTTCCGCTTGGTAGCAAGGTTGCAGCTTATCCGGACGACGGAAGAGCTAATGCCATACCATTTTTGGATCGAATTGCTGCCAGAATCAGTCTTATCAGGAAAGTTTTGCCAGTCCTTCCTGCCGCGTCTAAGAAGATTCCTCCAGTCCCGTTGTTGAAAGTCCGCATTATTTGCTCCTAAATGCCTTTCTGCTCCAGTGTTAGCTTACGAACGTTTGATTGCAGATACGACAGAAGATCAACCGTGTTATAGTTTTGATCACGGCTCAAATTTACGTTTAAAGAAGCAGCAGCAGATCGATTTGATGATGCCTTTCCCAGTTGATTAAGAACTCTGTTCGAGATTCCCACGCACATATCCTCGATCATTATTAACGCCTCGCTGCAGATTTCTGTTGTGAAATCCGCATTTAAATCTTCCTTGCGCAGTCGACGAAAGATATCTTCAGCCATGTGTGATCCACTGGCCGAGGCGGGGAGAGGGGGTGGTGTTAACTGCATCCAGTCTCGTCCGACAATCCCCGAGGGAGCGCCAACAGCCCCACTGTGTGTGGCCAGTCTAAGTGGCGTCCAGGAGTTGCATGATTTTTTGTCTCAGGGGTGGTAGGCCTAACGACTCATATTACATCGACCCTGGGGAGGGGGGAGAGGGCATGTTCAAGTGCCTTCAGGGAGTAGCGAGCGCGGCCGTCGGAACGTGTGTTTTTGAGCGGATGTCGGACAAAGTGGCTCAGGGGCGAGCGTTTGTCCGAGTGGATGCCGAACACCGACGTCGGTCAAACATTAGATCCTCGTCTTTAGGGCTTGGCGGATGCCAAGGAGGCAGTGAGGGGTGATCGGTACAGTCTTACCACCCTTGAACAATGCGTTTGGAAGTCTTGAGTATCGTGACCAAGTGTTACAGTGTACAGGGACCGGATATAGGAATGATATACCTGACGCCGACGCTGATAACGGCTGTCGCCTCCATCATCTGCAGTCGAATAAATTCAGGCCATAAAGTCAACCGGTCGGCGCAGGTCATTATTTACGATAAACCACTGGACAGAAGCATGAGACGTATAATATTCCGGCAAATGTGGCTGGACTGAGAACCGGTCTTGGTAGGTTGCCGGATGCTTGTTTGTTCTGACCGTGCATCTTGCCGCGTTGGCTGTTCAGACATCTCCATCTATCCATTGGCACCCTTGTGTATACTGGGCCAGCTGACCATGTCCGCAACCACCACTGTCACTCATCCTGAATGCGTGGGTTTTCGCTGTGAAGTGCAGGACGGCGGCGCAAAGAATGCAACAAATCAACGATGGGCACTACTGAGAGATCCATAGGATGGCACCGTCACCCGTTTTCAACGAGATATCATTGACTTGTATATTGTTCACATCAATTTTGCCAGAGTAGCTAATCTTTCATTGTTCAGCAACCCCCTTTTTGAAGTGGGAGTTTTAATCTAAATGGGACTGTTTCTAACGGAATGAGTTAGTGTGACTGCAAGGCGCTTGTAATCCGTGAGAACGTTGAAGCCTGGCCGCGAAATAAATACCAGAAGTGCTTGCTGCCAAGCATCTGCACCCCACCGTCTCACTCCGTGGGAGGTGAGACTCGGGAGGAAATCGCTACAAAATGAGTCAAACTTGGGAAGACTAGATGGGGTGTCGCACCAACGGCTCTGTTTAAGGCAAATCCCTTAGAGAGAGAAAGAGAGAGAGGTGCGCACGGAGCTGTGGTTTAGGAGACAAAGGAGACTGGAATGGTCATCCCTGACTTATTAGCTGCCGTTAACCAGCGATACCCAAATCCGAAGCGTGCAACCCCTGGAGCTCGGTCCAGCGACGTGTTGGTTATAAGTCCAACGCCCTAAACACTGAGCCAGGGACCCGTTATCCTGTCGGTTGCGGTTGGACATGTACAATAATAGAGTGGCGCCCACCGGTCGCATTACGGGACTCGCTCGTCCCGATGTGCCTTGGGGCTCTCGTCCGAGCCCCACCAGAAGCGGCCCAACGGCTCGTAATATAGGCAGAGTAGCAAAACAACAGGCCGTGGGATCTAGCCCCAGGGGTTACACACCTCGGGGTTGGGTATGGCTGGCTGACGACGGCCAGTAAGCCAGAAATGACCAGTCTCCTTTGTATTTGTAAATAATGCTATTCTGTTCATATTACGTGCCGCTGTGCGGCTGCTGTCGGGGCTCTAGAGGGAACCCCAAGTCACAAAAGGACAAATGAGTTCCGAAACGCGATTGGTGAGCGCCCCTCAACAACAATCACAACTGCCTATGGCACTAATAACGATACGTCAAAACCTAAAGCAAGGTGGTATCGGTGAAGTGTGGCAGAAACTCACGATAGATTATAAAGCTTATGAATTGTTGCAGTTGATACTTATAGACCGGAGGAGGAGTCGAGAATAGCGGGGCTCATGAGATAAGATTGGATGTCGCTGAATTCTGCCTGATGGTCAGGAAATCCAAATAACGTGAGTCAAATAGGGACTTGAAGGGCTGTGGTGGTGGTGGTGGTGGTGGTGGTGGTGATGATGATGATGATGATGCTTGATTCCGCACATGAGGATGTGGTAGCACGCCTAGGCGTGGGTTTTTTGCCACGCCTGTTAATACACCAAATCCCGAGTACCGGCTCGGCCAGCGGATTCACACAGGGGAGAGGAAAGAGAGAGTGAAGTCGGCTCTGATGAACCCATCCCCACGGTACACCAGAGGAATTCTCACTGCGAAAAATCCTACGCGCTAAAAGTCGTGACGTGGAAGGCCGCCAACTGACTAGGTAACTCGGTCGTCGGAGGACAGAGAGTCGGGCCCAACATCACCTTTCTAATGTGATCTCTGCTGCACTCTCACTCAGGTGAGCTATTTGTCGCCCCTTTACCTGAAGACCTGATGCATCGTGTGGCGACCAGGTCATTGTGGTGCGCATTGACGGGCTGTCAGCCACTGCACCCGAGGGCGACTCCAGTCGTCTTGACCCTGTCTTGTCACCGGGTCCAGCTGGGTGGGAGAAGAGAGCGTGAGGTGATCCTACGTAAGTCTGCTATCAGCATAAATCAATCCACACGCAAGTCTGTCCTGCGTCCACCATGCTGAGGGGCAGGCGATGAAAATTGCCGTATGAGGCGGCCGGACTGTCGCTGGTGGGGTTATGATGATGATTATGACGACGATAATGATGGTGGTGGTGGTGGCGGCGGGGGTGGTGGTGGTGGTAGTGTTTGCTAAAATTCGGTGGCAAACTAACCGCCCATAATGGTTGCTAATCGTGCTTGCCAGAACTGAAACACGCCGACAATGGTTCGTTTTTACAGACATACACAAAAGGTTCCCAACAAAACACTGTACCCCCACGATTCTGGGAGTTTTCTCAGACAGCGAAGAGGACACAACATGTGAATACTACCAAACACTGAGATTCTTACTGGCACTCTTTTTGGTGTCATAAAATTATGGTGGGAGGCCCAAACCAAGTTGATTTTCGAGAGCACAGTCTTGTTGATTAAGGAATGGAAAGCAACACAGGAAGTGCTTATACTCAACGTGTGATGGTCGCCACAGGACGCCAGTCGTGACCTGGGGAACAAAATGCAAGCTTGAATTCCAGGGGGTTACAGATCGAGGAAGCTTTGCCAATTGTGCTTGGAATCAGTTTTGGTTGCGGCTAAACGGGTGCTACCATGACGACGAGACCTATGGTAGTAGAGAGAGACAGTCTGTTGCTTGACTATGGTTTATCACATCGTACAGTGGCGGGTAGCGCGCATGTCGGAACTCAGTGGGGCTACTATACTTGTTGAGGACACTCTGAAATACATACCAAGGGTGACGATGTGGCTGGAGGACTCTGAAAAAAGGGAGAACTCCGATGGAGAGAATGATGGCCTAGCTGTGCCGATAAGATTGCCGACTGTTAACTAAAAGCCCTAAAGTGGGGATAAACTAAGCCTCAATTAGGACATAACGTCAGCATCAGTCAAGACGCCGGAGACCGGTGCAAAATCTTAAGGAGAGAGACCTGAGGGTCTGGAGGAAAAGGTGCAGGGTGGACAACCCGACCTGATCGGTAGTGTAGATAAGGAAACATCTGCAGCACCTGGTGTTGCAGAAGTTGAATATGCGGTCGGTGTCATGGTTGCTATAAAGTAATGTCACTAACATCCTGACCAGTCCACTTTCTTGACTTTATCAGCAAGAAAATTGGAGGTACTGACGCCGGCAACCTTATAGTTCCGGCTTCTGCCTCCGTGTGGGTGAGAAATTCCGGCATCCAACAGGAGGCTTGCTTTTTGAGGCAGCAACTCAGTAGTTACCTAGCAACTGCTTCATCTCATGTTGTCATTCAAGACTTGGTACACACCCGGAAAATTCAGCAAAGACATGTGGAACTTAGTAGCTACCCCTAACTTACTTTCCGTCTTTAGCTAGCTATGCAACAATTCTAAGCTAAACATCTGAGATTTCAGGCCAAGGCAATTGCTTGTCTTTTATTGGAGCCAAAGACTCCGCCCTATCAGCCGAAGACCTACGTCATCCTAGTGGCGATTTGAATTACGAAAATTCACACGTTGTGGACGACTCACGTATCAGAATCCGAAACGTCAAGCCGGTTAAACTCTTGTTCCAGCGATCACATCTTCTGAACCGCTTCTATATACACACCCCTTTACTTCTATCGACAATACCAGGTTTTGAAGAAGGAGCCACGATCGCTGGGACAAGAGCTTTATTAGTCTGACATTTTGGATTCCTGCTCGAAGCCATCATCAGAGACGACAGCAGATACGGGTGATTCATTCATCAGAGGCTGCAGTATTTACAGGATGCAGTCGCCATGCTACCGCATTCCTATCAACATTCACGGCTCCCCCTTCATCCGGGATCGTTGCACGTGGTGTGTTTATTGCATGATGGCCGACACTCGCGTCGTTAATTGCTGCAATTTCATCACGTGCGTCTGATTTTGGTGTGATGATTGCTCAACTATCTGACGCACTGACGCTGGTGTTGGGAAAAGTGTTCTCCTGGGCGCTCCCCGCGTGGTCAATTATTCCGCCTAGGCGAAGTCTCAGCACCGAGTATGGAAGGGGAAGGTCATTGCACTTGTTAATGGACTGGGGGCCAGTAAACCATGACTCAAGCAGCTCACGCGGTTTTCACCTCTTGCGAGAATTTCGGTCTCCTCGAGTTTGAATGTATGGCCGAATCTCATCGAATGAGCCGCAACTTGAGAGCTAGCGTCATTTCTCCGCACCGCTGCAGCGGATGATGGTGTGTTCGAGCAGGAATCCGAAACGTCAGGCTAATAAAGCTTCTGTCCCAGCGATCGTGTCTTCTTCCTCTTCTTCCTTTTTCTTCAAGACTGCTTCCCGTTACTCGTTTCTTTGCTTCTATTGGCAATACCAGGTTTTCACATAGAGGGGGACGGCTCGATCTCATGTTCATGAAAGTGTCATAGAGACCCTACTAAGAAGGTACCATCGGGCCTGACCCCTAGTCCTACGGCCAGCCACCCTGCAAAAATACGGTACTGACCACGAGAACCGAGTTAACAAATCCTCTGGCAGTCACGACATTTAACACATCGTGAGAGAAATCGAATGTGCGGAAGCACCGCATGGGCAGATTTATGGAGATACGAGGGTCTGCAATACGAAGATCCCAGATCAAAAGACACGCCATGGCAGTTAAGTGGGCAAACCCTTACTATGACCAATATGAGCGTCGTCAGCGTCGATTAATATCCCTCTCTTCACCGATTGCCGTAATTAGACGAGGTCCGGGCGCATGTGCTTCGGTTGACAGTTGCCTGGAGAGAACGCTTGTTGCTAATGCTTGCTGAGCTGTGTGCATACTACATCAATTCAGTAAACCAAGTCCATCTAATTGTCTCCCCTGCTTTCTGATTCGGAAACCTTCATTTTTTCGAGAATCTTACGTCGACAAGTGCTGACTCCTTCCTGAACACCCGACGTTTTCCCTCTCAATTTGCGATATGACCAGGCGTTGGAAACGGACAATTTTTCACAAGAAGTGTGGCATATTTTCGCATTCGCTTCTGGCAATCCTTCGGTCTCACAATTCACTCAGATGTCTTAACTGCTGGTGGAGATGCACGGATTCGTCAGGTCCTCCGTTGCCGTACTTTCAACTACCTTATCTTTTCCCACGCATTCTCTCTCGAACTTGAGGCCACAGATGGGGAGTGTCGCACACAATTCAGCCTCCCTACCATCTCGAAGCGCATTGAAGCCATTCACGCGACATCCACTTCTTTACCTTGATTCAGCACATCAACCATTCTCCGGTATCATTTGACATCTGGTGTCAACGCTTGTTGCTGCGACTCTTCCTGTTCCATCACCTCAGGGCAGAGCTCACGGATGGAACAGGTTGGCCCGAAGATCAGTGCTGCCGATCTCCCTGCCCCCCCCCCGGCACCGATCGCACTTGATACATCTGCGAGCCCAGATCAGTGTGGTTCTTCCCACTACTACCGACCGCTACTGTCCTAATCTTAGTCTGCATCTCCGAGCTGCGAACTGTTCCCTCATTCAGAGGACGAAGATGCGATCACTGAAACAAGAAATGTATTGGTCCGACGTTTCGGATTCTCACTCGAACCCATCATCATTCTCCCCCCATTCCCGTTCGCTAGCCCCTCACCCTGAACATCAGGTCTTCGTCAGTCGTTCTCCAGGATATCGGTGATCGCTGTTATCCTTACACAATCCCCGGCTCGGACATTCTAGCACAGTTTGGCTTTCTTGTGGATTGCCGGTGTGCCCGACTACTAGACCGCACTACTAGCCTATCTGTTCGTTGGTTGCCTCTCTTCATTACCTCCTGCAACTTATCTGTTATGGATACGAATATTTTTTGCCCTTATCGGAGGCTTCTCCTGCAACATCCGAACATCAAACACCAGTTTCACAGTGGCAAGATCCAACACGATGTTATGCAGCACATCCGCATCTATGACCCTCCTATGTTCGCTCGGGCTAGACAACTAGCCCCGGCCCGCCTGCAGGCCGTGAAGGCGAAATTTGAACACATGTTGTGACTCAGCATCATTCGACTCCCAAAGAGCTCCTGAGCCTTTCGGTTGCACATGGCGCCAAAGACGACGCCAGGCGATTGATGACCCTGTTGCGACTACATTGTCCCCATCAACGTCACCATTCCCAAACGTTACACAGGGCCCTACCTCCAGGATTTTGCTAGAGCGTCTTCTCGAAGATCGACCTTGTGGGCGCTTTCCATAGGATATCTGTCACCTCAGGGGATATCCACAGAACCACCGTCGCTGCACTCTTCAGCCTCTTCGAACTCATTCCAATGCCCTTCGGACTTCTCAATGGCACCCAGATGTTCCTGAGGTTTATCAGTCATATTTTGTGTGGCCAACCGTTTGCGTACGGTCACATCTTCGACCTCTTTGCGGTTAGTCGGTATGCAGAACACAAAAAACAACTCGCCTTGGTGTTGGGCGACCATTTTCTGTGCCCAGTCAACTATTACGACGGCCTGAGGTGCCCAGTTCAAGTCCTCTGTCTTTCAAACCCTTCTCAGCTTTCATGACTGCGCATACATTCGAATGACAGCTTACCATCCAACAAACGACATGATCGAGCGTTTTCGCCACAAACAAAAGGCCGCTCTGCGTGCCATGGAGGACCAAACTAACTCCTAAGACAACCTGTCTTTGGTGCTCCACGGCATTTGTGCTACACTGGAGCTGAATTGGGACCTCAGTGCAGGCGAGATGGTTACCACAACCTCTCGTAGTACCGACAAGAGTCCTGAAAGTTTCGTGTATTGCCTGCGGAATTGCCATACAAATGGCCGATCGGGGTTCTCTCCCGCACTACTAAGACCTGCCAGATCCTTCACGGTGGCAGTGGAGATGTGATCAGCGTTGATCGGGTCAAGGCTGTTATCTTCGACGAACCGCCAGACCTGCCTCAAGAGCAAAAAGGTGCAAACCCATACCCTGTGCTCCTACACCTTCCCTCCTTCATACTTCTTCCCCTCCTCTATCCCTCCGTTCTGTTTACCTATTTTCCTACCATCGCCGCAGCATCCAACTGAAACCTCGTCATCCAACTATTCAACCGCAGCACGCACGCGCACACACAACCCCCACCTCCTCCTGTACGTATGCAACAACAACAGCCTAGGTTTGGCCCGCTCACTTGGTCGCCGCCGATTTGTCAATCCAAAACAGCCTTATGCCCGAAACACCACAATTTCGGCACACTCAACACACCTTGAACATCCACCAACGCTCCCACCTCCTGCCCGATTAAATTCCCTCGGCTCCTTTATCCAAGCGGCCTATCTGCCACCTTGCGCACACTGGGGGCCATGTCGCATTCGCGGCACGCGTAGACGACCAGATACATCTCCCAGTCCCAGCCTCAGTTGGTTGACCGGCTCGGACGATCAATTGGTACATGGGATAGGCTATAGTGAGTGAGGTAGATCCTTAGCGCATAAATTATCAGTATAAATGATCTGACGTGCTTGAGATTATCGCGGTGCGCTAAAAGTCGCAGCCTGGAAGGTTGCCAACTGACGCTTCACATTAGACCACGCAGTCAGCCCAGTTATGTGTTTGAGTCGGACTGAGAGTCAGACTGCGATGGCTCCTCTTT